GACTTCAGGATGATACATGAGTTCAACTTGGCGCTACTAGCAAAGCAATTATGGAGACTAGTTCAATATCCGGATTCCTTGGTAGTTCGCGTTTTGAGAGGCAGGTATTACAGAGTGAGTATGCCATTGCGTCAGCTCACTGTTTAGCCCATCATATGTGTGGACAAGCATATCGGCGGGACGAGAATTACTATTGCTGGGAATCAGACAAAAGGTCCACTCGGGGTATGAGGTGAAAGTCTTGGAGGATCCTTGGATCCCTACCATCCCAGCGAGACCTACAACCCCATCAGTACTAGTTTTGAATCCAAATATGAGAGTTAGCGATTTAATTAATCAAGCAACAAAGACTTGGGATGAGAGCCACCTTGAGAATTATGTAGCTGCTGCTGATATACCACTCATTAAGAGTCTGGCCATCAGTTCCACGCACCGCCGGGATACGTATTGCTGGAGCTATACAAGGAATGAACAGTATACAGTTAAATCTGGATACTGGGTAGCACGGAATATTTTGTTGAAGGAAAAGGACTCCGCTGTATGTGAACCTAACATCACAAAGCCTCAAACACATGCTTGGAAGGTCAAGACTCTACAAAACATATGCCATCTTATGTGGCTATTAATAACAGGCCATGTGGTTGTTATGAGTATCTTGAATTAAAGACATATGAGATGTGATAATCACTGTCCATGCTGTGGGGAACCCGAAGAAACAATTACACATGCAATCTTCGAATGTCCACCTGCGTTGCAAGTTTGGGCTTTATCATCCACGCCTACCAGTCCTTCTTTGTTCCCACTTCCGAGCACATATGCGAACATGGATTACCTCTTCTGGAGGAAGAATTCTATAATGGTACCGAAATTGGACAGGGATCCTTATCCCTAGCTAATTTGGTATATTTGGAAGGCTCACAATGATAAGTTGTTCAGAGGTATTGATAGAGACCCTTTGGAGCTAGCGCTGTATGCAGAAAGTGAGTGTCAAGCCTGGTTCCGAGCATATGAGCAGGATACACCGTCATCCTTCGGTAACAAAGTTGAGAAAACCAGGCCATAAGTCTGGGTAACATATACATTGGATGGATCTTGGACTTTTACTGATCATTTCAGTGGATGTGGTTGGGTTTAGAATGATAGCTCAGAAAATAGCCAGTTAATGGGGTTGCGCAATTTTGATAGAGTGGCGTCGGCGTTGCATTCAGAGTTGGAGACATTGCGGTGGGCAATGGAGAATATGCTTCAACATTCGTCATGTCAGAGCTTTGGAACTGATTGCAAGGAGATGATCGCGATGCTCAGGAATCTCCACGAATGGCCTAACTTCTCAACGGAATTGGAAAAACTCTTGACACTAAGGATTTGCGTCCCTGATTTCAAGATTTTTTACGTCCCTAGGTTACAGAACATATTTTGTGATTCTTTAGCTAAGACGGCTAAATCATTTTATCGTAAGCTCTTGTATGTTGGTTGTTGTATTCCGGTCTGTTACCAAGACCACCTCAAGCTTGAGTAATATATCAGCTTTTTGATGACAAAAAAACTATAAAAAAACACAAATACACTAAATAGTTAAAATCACATTTTCTCCCCCCTTCTTTCTTCCTATCTCACTTTACTCTCTCTCCTAAAAATTTAATTTTCTTTTTTTTTTTCCTAGCTATCTATACTATTATTTAAGAAGTAAATTTGATTAGCTGTCATTTTCTCTACAAGTTTAGGTAATTTTGTTTATTTATCATATTTTAAATATTTTTATATAATTTATTTATAAATAAAATGAATATATATGAATATATTATATTTTTATAAAATAAGATAAATCTTATGAATTATGTTGTTATCTTGAAAGATATTTTATATATAAAACTTAAATATTAAATTAAGATATAAAATAATTATATTTATTATATAACTAAAACGAATTTATATTAATAATTTCATATTTTCTAAAATAAGACAATTCTTATGTATTATATTGTAATGTTGAAAATATATTTTCGTATTATAAAAATTATATTTTTAATAATTAAATATAAATCCTCAAAAACATTATTTGGAAAGTTAATTTGTTGATTTGTCTCCATAATCGTAGGTAATTTTGATCATTTATCAGAATTTCTCAAATTTTGTTTATTATTGATTATATAATTAAAAGTAATTTATATTAATAATATGATATTTTAGTTTAATTCTTATGTATTATGCCGTTATCTTGAAAATATACTTTTTATTATAAAATTTAAAATTAACATTTAAGAAATCTATACTATTATTTAAGAGCTGAATTTAATGTTTGCTGATTTGTCATATTTTCCATGATTTTAGGTAATTTTGATAATTTATCATAATTTCTATAATTTTATATACAATTTATTATATATTTTTTAAAAAATTATATTAATAGTATAAGATTTTTAGAAAATAGGATACTTCTTATGCATTAAATTGCTGTCTTGAAAATATATTTTTCTATTAGAAATTTAAAATTAAGATATAAAAAGTTGTAGTTATTCTATAAATGAAATAAATTTACACTAGTATTATTATACTTTTAGAAAATAAGGTAATTCTTGTGTATTATGTTGTTATCTTGAAAATATATTTTTATATTATATTATTTAAAATTAAAATAGAAAAATTATCTATTATTAATTAAATATAAATCATCACTCAAGAAAAAATATTTAAGAAATGAATTTGCTGATTCATTAAGTTCTGCATGATTTAGGTAATTTTAACTATGTCATAATTTCTATAATCTTAGATAATTATTATATAATTAAAATAGATTTATCATATTATATATTTAGAAAATACATAACTTATGCATTATATTTTTATCTTGAAAATATGTTTTTCTACTATAAAATTTTAAACTAACATATAAAAAATATTATTAAATATAAATTAATATTTGTATAAATATTATAATTAAATATAAATCGACCAATTAAATATAAATATCAAGGATCTCACAGATTTTAATACAGCAATGTTGGCAAAACAATTATGGAGACTTAGAGAGAAACCGGAAACATTGTTTGTTCGAGTTTTTAAAGGTCGTTATTTCAGGAACGGATCACCCCTGGAACCGATCAGATCTTACTCGCCGTCCTATGGATGGCATAGTATGACTTCAGCTAGATCTCTGGTTTGCAAAGGACTAATCAAAAGGGTGGGAACAGGATCGTCCATTTCGGTATGGAACGATCCTTGGCTCCCTTCCACTCGTCCGAGACCAGCAAAATCAAACTTTACACATTTTTACCCGGATCCTACGGTAGATTCACTTATTGATGCGGCATCACAGACTTGGAATTCGCAGGTTATCCGTACTTTAGTGGATCCCCAGGATGCTAAGATTATTGAGAGTATTCCTCTGAGCCGAAACGGGAGTGTAGATAGAGTTGGATGGCATTTTACAAAAAATGGAAAATATACGGTTCATTCTGGGTACCAGGTGGAGCTGGTGTACCCAGATAGGTAGGGGTTACCTATTGAGTATGGTCCCACGGTCACTCCATTGAAAGCTCATTGCTGGAAAGTACGTTGTCCACCCAAGATGAAACATTTTTTGTGGCAAATAGTAACGGGGTGTATTGCGGTTAGGAAAAATTTGCGTGGTAAGGGCATCGAAGGGGATATATGTTGTGCACGATGCGGAGCACCAGAGGAGTCCATTTGTCATGTGTTTTTTGAATGCCCACCAGCAATTCAGGTATGGGCTCTCTCAAGGATTCCCTCAAACCCGACGATTTTTCCGAAGCAATCCTTATTTGCAAATATGGATCATCTGTTCTGGAGGGTAAAACCAGAAATGGATGATCATCATTTTGTTTGGATTTTGTGGTATATCTGGAAGGCAAGGAATAATAAGGTGTTTAGTAATCTCGATATTGATCCGAGGGATACACTACAACTGGCTGAAACGGAATCTGCATTGTGGAAAGAAGCACCAATAGTTTTGCCCTCTCGGATACCTCAGGTAAATTTGGGTCCGGTTATATCGGGTCGATGGTGCTTTACGGACGGATCTTGGAAACAACATGATGATTTTTCGGGACAGGGGTGATTTACTACCCTAGAAGGCTTCAAGAGTTTAATGGGAGCACGAAATACTAGGGCGAGTCAATCACCACTTCATGCAGAAATTGAGGCTCTTATTTGGGCTATGGAGTGCATGCGAAATTTAAGGCAGTACACTGTAACTTTTGCGATGGATTGTTCTCAATTGGTGAAGATGGTTTCGGAACCTGAAGAATGGCCAACATTTGCAAGTTACTTGGAAGATATAGCACTTTTGCGAAGAAGTTTTTAGAGTTTAGAGCTTCTCCATGTACCAAGGACGCATAATATTAAGGCGGACAGTCTCGCACGTAGTGCAAGAAAGCAATCGTCTTTTGTGGTCCATATGGATTCGGAGCTACCGGTTTGGTTTTCAAAGTCTAAATGAGTCTATAATATTGCTGACAAAAAGAAAATATTTATGATGTTTGATTTTTGTCTTTGATAATTATTTGATATTTGATTTGTACTTTTTGGAAACGTAAATAATAACTTACTAATTACTATACTGATTTTTAAATTAATGTAATTATGCCCTGTAAATATGGCCAAAACACATAGTTTGGCAAATAAATGCTAAATAATAAATATTGACTACGTGGTTAAGAGGATGAATATCAACCACAGAAAAAAAAATGTAAACGGAAAAGAGAGCGAGTGTGCATAAAAATATCTTACTCTCAGCGTCTGCCGATCCGTCATAATTTAAAGACAGCTGCTCTATGTCTCTTTCTCTCTCTTTTCAAATTTTTTAAAAGAAGGAAAGGAATTTTAATTCATAAATCTTCGTTCATCCTAAAATCTTATAGTATCTTCTTCCCCGTCAACAATCGGAATCTGGGTTTTGGAAAAGAAAAACTTTCAAAATGGTCTTCACAGTTCAAACATAACCCTAGAATCGTGAGTTCGAAAGAAAGAAAAAAAAAACAATGCGTATATTGTGCGATGCATGTGAGAGCGCCGCCGCAATAGTCTTCTGCGCCGCCGACGAAGCTGCCCTCTGCTGCTCCTGCGACGAAAAAGTATATACTAACTTGCCTTGCGTGAAAACTCTCATTACCTTTTTTGTTCTCGACCAATGCAAAAAATAGTTTGACTTTCTATCATGAGCAAATATTCTATTTTTTGCATTGCTAAATTTATGGAATGTAGGAGGAGAGATGAGAGTTGTCTTCGAATCTCTCAGAGTGTTGTCTTTACATTGTTATTTGAGTAACTTCATCTTGTTATGTTACTATGTATGTCATCAGAATTTGCACTTTTTCTAATGGTGAAACACTCTATTTGCAACAGTAAGAGATTTACGGATCATGTTACTTTATTGTCCTATAACTTTATAAGAGAGAGAGAAAGAACATTTTTTTTTGTTACTGTCTTCAGGTTCATATGTGCAACAAGCTGGCTAGCCGACACGTCCGTGTAGGTTTGGCTGATCCTAGCAATGCGCCAAACTGTGACATTTGCGAAAATGCACCTGGTTATTATTTCTTTCTCTCACTTTTAGTTTAATTAGTAAAAGAAAGTTTTTGATGAGATGTTATTTATTCCTTTGGTGAACAGCCTTCTTTTACTGTGAGATAGACGGTACTTCCCTTTGTCTACAATGTGACATGGTTGTTCATGTTGGAGGCAAGAGAACTCACAGGCGCTTTCTGTTGCTTAGACAGAGGATTGAGGTTAATTTGGCTTCTTCTTCTTCTTCTTCTTATATTCATGATGCATTTTCTTGAGTGTTCTTTACAATGTGTGTGATATATCTATTGTGTCATGTAGTTTCCAGGTGATAAGCCTAACCACGCAGATGATCTTGGATTAAGGTGTCAAAAGGTCTCCACGTCAGGTCGAGGTCAAGAATCAAATGGGAATGGTGATCATAATATGATCGATCTTAACTCCAACCCTCAAAGAGTACACGAGCCTGGATCAAATCACCAAGTACGTGTCTATATAATGAACATTATCTTGACTACGGTGTCTAGTCTAAACTGTTCTCGTTTTTTTTTTACTTTAAGGAGCAGGGTATCGATGTTTAGCACAGATAACAACCACGAGCCTATAGGCGTTGTACCTGTTGGAGCGTTTATACGAGAGTCTTAAAAAGTGATCAGAGATACACAAAGATCGAGTAACAAGTATGTAGGCATGCAGTAAAACTATCATTATTGTGCATTACGTTTCTGTTTTGAAGAAATTAGCTTAGAAGACTCGGAGGAAACGATAAAGATAAGATCTGAGACAAATAAAGCTTTTTTTTTCCCTTCTGGAGTGATCAATTAGATAATAAAGCTTAGAAGAGATTGTGTATAAACGACTACTCTTCATAGTTTAAAATATGTCTCCAATGAAAGTCTCTATTAAGTAAACTGTCACACTCACATTCACTTTGATACAGAAAGTACTAGAATCTTGATAAATTATGTCAGTAGGTGTAGCCATTAAAGCACATGCCTTGCTGGCTTGAGTTAAGATATCACCGTGAGCCATTTATATCTCTCACTCTTTAGGTGTAGCCATTAAAGCACATGCCATTTTGGCTGTAATCTCCCATAAGGTGTAGACAATAAAGCACATACCATTTGGCTGCACTGCAATCTCCCATTACTCAATATATCCCACAATATGCTCTTTTAATGTTTCTCTCAACATCTTTTCTTGAATAAGAACTACAGTATATACAGAACTTGTTCTTTTGTTAGTTTCACTATATATATTGTATTAGATGTTGTGGTCTAGACAGGGAGAAAAGATAGAAAAGCACAACGTAGTTATCCTTAATACAATACTTTCATAACTAGCTAGCAAAGCAAGGGATTTTAAGTGTCCGAGCAGACAAAACTCAGTTATTAGTAGTAACGAGGTGGTGTGGTACAAAGCATCAGAATCAAGCTTAGACGAGTACGGGTTCCATACAAAAACAGCTTAATAGGTGTAGCCTTTTACGAACATGATCTCCTTGGCATCATCGGACTCACTGACCAAGCGAGTTAGCTTTGGCTCGGGTCAAGAGTGTCTCCTGAGCCGCATTCACGTTCTTTTCTCTGCCTCCCCATGGTCTTCAAGCAAGTGCCCGTGCGTAGAAGGACACATGCCATGGGTTCGTTCCTTGGTTCATTGCGTCAAGTTGAAAGGGCCTCTAGCTCAGATTGTCCTCCGGACAGGAACTGCACAAATAGATAGATGAAACAACACCAAGTCTTGTTTTAAGAAATAGTGTCTTCAGTTACAAAAAAAAATTACCATGATTCCGGGAACAGCAGGAGTGATTATGTTGCAAAGGAGCTTAAAAAAAATTTACCGAAGCCTGTTTATATAACAAAACAACTCATTAGCCACTTTCATCAGATATCGATTCGTGAAGTCTACATCAACGATCCATAGGCTGCCATGTCAACTCCCGCGTGGCAAAGAGTGGGGGAGCAGGTTCACTTGTGGACGGACTCTTTAACACTCGGGCCTTGAACAATTCTTACAAGGGTTTATTTGATGGGCTCAACTAAAAAGGCCCATAAGTATATTTTAACGATTCGTTATGAAAATAGGAGCACGAAATACACATTTGCATGCAAATTGCATTTTGGAATCATTATAGTGAGGAAGAAAACAAAAGGTAGTAGTAGGGTCAGTAATAATGACTGGATGCATATTAAGATCTTCTTGTCCTCTGTCTCCGACACGAAAACAACACTTGGACTGGTTTACAATCACACATTGCCTTATCAAAATTTCCCTTTTGTAAAAATCATTTTTGGTCCTCTTTGCTTTTAAGCCGTCAAATTTTGCTTCTTTTATATATTAAAAAAAAGACAAAAATTGAACAATTGGTTTGAATTCAATACGTTAACCGGTTAACAGTACCAACGTTAGACCGAATTGCTTACAAAAAGTGAAGGGAGTTGTTGTTTGTTTTTTAATCTGCATTTTTACCTTTCCTTCTTCTTCTGATTTTGTTTTTTTGGGATCAGCAGGAAGAAGAAGAAGAAAGAATGCAGATTCAATGCAAAACCCTAACTTTCACAGTTTCTTCAATTCATTCAAACCCAAAGCTGCCATTCCGATCTTCTATCTCTATACGGCCGTCTAAGACTACACTCCCGAGTTTCAGGAGAGAAAAGTCACTGGATTTGAGCAGCAGGAGGTTGTTTATAAGAAACTGCTCAAGTCCGAATCAGGAGCTTGTTGTTGGGTCGATTCCAGAGGAGGAGGAAGTGATTGAAGTTGGAGTAGATGATGCAATTTCTTCTGCAGTTAAAGTGGAAGTGGAAGTGGAAGAAGGGAAGAAGGGAGATGATTTAACGAATCAGAGTATTTGGGGACAAATGAAAGAGATCGTCATGTTCACGGGGCCTGCTGCTGGACTCTGGCTTTGTGGTCCCTTGATGAGTCTCATTGACACTGCAGTCATTGGCCAAGGCAGCTCTCTCGAACTCGCTGCTTTAGGTAATGTTGTCTATACATATTTTGCTTCTCTCTTCTCTAACTAATGAAGAGCCTTTCTCTTTCTTTCTTTTATATCTTTCTTATGTGTTACCTTAGAAAATCAAAGTGGACCCGTTTGTTTGTGTTTATCTCTCTGCTCATGTGCTGGAAACCCACTATCCTTTCTCTTTGATGAGCTTGCTTTTGTCTGTGTGTTTAACTTATCAACAACAGTTGCTGCTTTTGCTTTCTCTTTATTACTTTTTTACTAGATATAGAAACTACTCTGGGAAAAAATAGGTTCCACAAAGCAGTGTAGCTCTCTTTTTCATATGTCCCCATTTTTTAAACTAAAATGAATCTAAGTTTCAGGTTTTAGACATGTCTGTCTTTGATTACTCAAGGTCAAGGGAGGCTTCTTCTGTACATTTCATTTTGGAACATGCGATTGCCTTCTTCTCTTTGCTATCTTCTAACAGTAATCCAAATTTTCTTTATGGATGGAAACAGGTCCTGCAACCGTTGTCTGTGATTATCTGTGTTATACTTTCATGTTCCTCTCCGTTGCCACTTCTAATCTTGTTGCCACCTCTCTTGCTCGTCAGGTCATTACTCCAGCAAATTCAAGAATTTTCTTTATGTATGTCAAGTGCACAGAAACTTCCTAATTGGTTAGTGTGCTTATGCAGGATAAAGATGAAGTACAACATCAGATATCCATCTTGCTTTTCATAGGGTTGGCTTGTGGAGTCATGATGATGGTGTTCACAAGACTGTTTGGTTCCTGGGCTCTAACTGGTAACATTAAGATATTCTTTAGCTGATCCTCTAACAAGTTTGTGACTTGTAGTAATTCCTCATCAGACTGTTGACTGTTTAGTCCTCTTTCAGCTTTTACAGGGGCAAAGAATGCTGAGATTGTCCCGGCTGCAAATACATATGTTCAGGTTTGTACTCTATCTTGATGAACCCTTCTTTTTTCTGTTGTAAAATTTCCTGAATATAATGTTTGTGGGTTTTGCTGAGTATGTTGGCTCTATGCGTATAGACAAATCCTATGTAAAGATGTACTACTTTTACTTACTTCGACCCATGTTATAGCCTTGAGTATTGTTAATTTTCAGCCACTTGCCTCTGTCTTCCTTTGGTTTGACGATTATTTTTTTTTTTTTTTTTTCCGTTCTCAGATTCGTGGTTTAGCATGGCCAGCGGTTCTCATTGGATGGGTTGCTCAAAGTGCAAGGTCCCTTTATACTCCAGTTATCCTTTAGATATTAATAGTACTGTATCTCACTGTTGTTATGGTCTCCCTTTTCTTTTGTCTCAGTCTTGGTATGAAAGACTCATGGGGACCTTTAAAGGCATTAGCAGTTGCTAGTGCAATAAACGGTGTTGGCGATGTTGTCTTGTGCACCTTTCTAGGATACGGTATAGCAGGTGCTGCATGGGCAACTATGGTCTCACAAGTAAGCTGAAAAAATTCCAATATCGAAGTTCCATACCATGTCATTTAGCAATATGATGTTAATTCGACATGTATTAGGTTGTTGCAGCTTACATGATGATGGACGCATTGAACAAGAAAGGATACAGCGCGTTCTCACTCTCTGTTCCTTCTCCAAGTGAACTCTTGATGATCTTTGGGCTTGCTGCCCCAGTATTTATAACTATGATGTCAAAGGTTACTCTATTTCAGACACTCAGTTGCAACATGATCGTGTCTTATCATATCTGATAATTTCTGTCTTTTTTCACCCCTTTAGGTTTTGTTCTATACGCTCCTTGTGTACTTTGCTACATCAATGGGTACAAGCGTCATAGCTGCTCATCAGGTAATATAACTAACCATGTCTCCTGATTTGAGTATGTTATATTAACTTCTTTGGCTCTTTTTGATCTCTAGGTTATGCTTCAGACATATACTATGTGTACGGTTTGGGGGGAGCCACTCTCTCAAACTGCACAGTCCTTTATGCCTGAGTTGTTATTCGGAATCAATCGCAATTTGCCTAAAGTAAGCTCTTTGTTGAGACCATTGATACATCTTGTTTTTATTGTTGCCTAAAGCATCTGCGTTGTCTGCTGTTGTCTGTAGGCTAGAATGCTTCTGAAGTCACTGGTTATCATCGGAGCTACACTAGGAATAGTAGTGGGAACCATTGGCACAGCAATTCCATGGCTGTTCCCTGGCATCTTTACACATGACAAGCTTGTCACGTTCCAGGTATTTTACTATCTTCTTTACAATTTGTCTCATCTGTACCTGTCTGGCATCTTGAAACACTTTCTCCGTGACAGATGCACACAGTCATAATACCATATTTTCTTGCTTTATCCATCACTCCGAGTACTCACAGTCTTGAAGGCACCTTGCTAGTAAGTTTGGACTTTTGTGTCTCAAGAATCAAGATTTTCCTATTACACACGCAAACCTTATGCTAAAAAGATAAAAAAACTGTTGTTGTAAAAATGAAGGCTGGAAGAGATCTTAAATATATCAGCTTGTCAATGACTGGATGCTTTGCCATTGCTGGGCTTGTAGTTATGGTACTCACTCACTCTTTGCTTCCTTCTCCTGAATTTTCAAAGTATATAATATATGTAACTCACTCTTCTCTTTGCATTGACTGTTTATAATTGACTAAAAGCTTCTGAGCAAAGGAGGATTTGGGTTGAGAGGTTGCTGGTATGCTCTCGTGGGATTCCAATGGGTAAAGAAAAAAACTTACTTACATCTTTAGTATAATGCCATATAACCCAATCCACACACATTTTAATCTTAACATGAATTGTCGCAGGCTCGGTTTTCTCTAGCCCTGATACGTCTTCTATCACGGAACGGTGTGCTTTACTCGGAAGATACAAGCAGATATGCAGAGAAAGTGAAAGCTGCTTAGCTTAGAAAGTCACCACTGTACCTCAAAAAAAAAAAAAAAGTATAAGGGAAATAGAAAAAAAATCTTCATTCATTGTGTTGTAGATCTCAATGAAACTCTATTTGATAGTATTTGTATTCTTGAATAACATTAAAAGAAAAATATATTCAGGCTCTCCCTGTATTCAAAAGATGATACAATCAAATCAAATCTCTCAAGTAACTCAACTAGCTCCTCTTTGCTATCAGTTACAGTCTTTCATTGCAGCTAATGCTCTCCTTCTCTTTTTGCTGGAACTTTTGGGATATTTTAATATCATTAGTCAAATAGTATTCATTGTTGAAATTTAACAAATAGGGTGTTTGGTCTAGTGGTATGATTCTCGCTTCGGGTGCGAGAGGTCCCGAGTTCGATTCTCGGAACACCCCTAATTTTAGTCATGCAGGCAAAAGCTATTCATTCTCATTGTTGTACAAAAAAAACACGACTAGTTCTTTTCGTAATGTTTTAAATGGCACGCATTCTGTCACACGAGACCAAAACTGCAGTAAAAGTTTGTACAATAACAATAAACAGCATCAGTAACATACAAAAAAAAAAACATACAACAGATACAATCGGTACACCGTTATATTAGATCCTCTTGAAAATGTGTTTTTATTGACAAACAATCTGTTCTCACAAGAGCAGAAACATATCATCTTCTACTCTTGACCCCTCTTCTGTTTTGCACCCTTCAACGCAAGAAGAGAAGCTCCATAGGAAGCTTCCGTGTGGACGGCTTTGCTCACAGGCAAACCAAGAACTCTCTCCCTTATCTTTATCCACTTGTCGTTCTTGGCTCCACCTCCTGCTGTCAACACTTCCTCCGCCTCCGTTGCTCCCATCTCTTTCAACAACTTGTAGCCTTTCCCCTGTGTAATGTATACACACTGAAGTTACTTGGTTGCTATTTAAAGCTTTTAAACTCTCCACTAGCTCTCTACCGGGAACTTAAAGATATACCCAAACTTAAATTTAATCGAAAACTTAAAGATCATATGACATAACCATTTTGTTCAGGGTGATAACTTGTGAAGAACACTATGATCGTTAGTCATGGTAGTAACCGCCTAGAGAAATAATTTGTACCTCAATACGTGCGATCGATTCCAAGATACCATGCAAGTATTCAACATCGCTGTTTGGGCGTGGAAGTAATCTGCAACAATTAACCATGCATTGTAAGTGAATCTACGCAGATTAAATGTACAGAGAGAGAGACCTGTGAGAACATGAGAAGTGCAGACAAACCTGGGAGCCAAGTTAGGGTCAGCTATGGGAAATCTTTCGCCGTTGCTTTTCAGAGGATAGTAATCTAGTGGAGATGCAACCGCAGGATTGATTTCTCGGCTCAGTTTCTCTAACTCTTCGTCACTGAAGAGCTGTCTGAGAATAGCTCCACCAGTGTTGGAAGCTCCTCCTACCAACCATTTGTCATCCAGGCGATGGCTGTAGACTCCATACCTCGCATCATCCACCCTTTTGGTGCTCAGAAGTTTGATGGCTAAGGTCGACCCCAATGAAGTTACCTTTAGAAACGAATTATTCAAAGGAATCATGCTAACATCAAACCGTGGAAACGTAACTATACACTTGGAAGAGTAAATAACATTCAGAAAGCATTGCGGAGTTCTCTTACTGCTTTCCCAGGTTCAGTTGCGCGTGCTGCAAGAAATGCAGCAATGCTATCAGTAGTACCGGTGCAGACAATGCAATCATCCGGAAATCCTGGTCAAAGCCAAAAGGAAAAATGAATCTCTATGTTACTTTCTATTTATTTCTAGGATGTAAGAATTTTCTTTTACCGAATTGCCTTGTAATGCTATCTTTTAGATTGCCTATTGACGTTCCTGGAGCTTGCACTGTAGGTAATAACTGGGAATAAGGCTGACTTATCAACCATGATGGATATGATTCACTCTCAGGATCATAGCCCACCTGCACTCATATCCAAAACAGAAAAAAGCACTTATGAGTTACATTCTCTTGTTAGAATTTGATATTCTCATGATACAGAGAATAATTCATGGCTGTTACCTTCAATGCGTTATTGTAATCTGAAACTCCGAGTTTACCATGAAGTAACCACAACAACCAATCAGCCTGATGCAGCAACACCGCTGATTCTCTGTTTGGAAGCTTAAGATTCCACCAAGAGACGAGCTTGCACAAGGTAGAGGAACCAGAGCAGACAGTGTGGTTCGCTGGCGCTATAGACATAACCTCAGGGAGAGCATCAGGGCAGCTCTGGTTGTAGAGAAAAGGCTGACACAGAACTTCCCCACTCTCACTGCTAGTCAAAAATTCTTGAATAAGCAAAGGAACTTCAAACAACATCTCAATGATGAATCACATGCCTGTTTAAGATGAGGGTTGTTGCAGAAGTTCCATCAAGAGAAATGGAAGAGACGAGGGAGCGAAGAGTAATGGGAATGTCTTCAAGCAAGGAGAAAAGAGTTGATTTCCATGAGCTAACCCAATCCATGCTTTCTTCCCTCTATCTAGATCACAAACAAACAAAACATCTCAGCCCATATAAAATATCCGAGGAGAACGAACACTAGCTATTTTTCTTAATCTTGTTCTTAAAGTAGTTCAGCTTTTTTTATAGAGCATCTACTGATGTGTATATAAAGATCTCAAAGAAGCATATAGTTTGAGCATTAATGCAATTTTTTACCATGAAAGGAGGATACTCTCTTTTGCCTTCAGCTCTAATCACTCCTTGTTCATCAATGACAGTAAAACGAGCACCTGAAGTACCAAAATCCATACCCATATACAGTTTTTCTACACTCCTATCATTATCAGCCATAGCTCTTATCAAACCAGGTCGGTTACTGTAAAACCTAGTTCTTGGTAGAGGGACACTCCTTGAACTACAACACCCTGAGATTCACCATTGTACCATTATTTATTATATCAGCTCTTTCCCAAAAATCAAATTCGAGAAAGTAATCAAGTTATATTAGCATATTCATCATTTTACCTGATTGTTTAGGAGATTGGAAGAGCTCAAAAGAAGAGATCTGAAATTGACCAAGCATCAGCATCTCTCTCTTCTCTCTCTACGTGGCTCTCGTTTCCTCCTTTGTGTGTGTGTGTGTGTATCTGCTTTCTTCTCCAAACTCCATAGATAAGGAGTTCGTGACCGTTGGATTGCCTGATTTCAAACCAAAAGCAGTTGGGCTTTCGGCCCTAGCAGTCATTAGTTTTCTTCACATATATCATTGAACGGTTCTATTAATATGCGTGTGGTTTTGGTTTCCCATTTTCAGAAAATGGGTCCACACTAGGCCCACTTTCGTTGCGGCCCAGAAGTCATAATGATGACCAACTCCTCTTTGTGAACCATCTTTTTCTAGATAATATTTTTGAAACTGCGAATCATAATTAATACATACTATTATCTATCTTTTATATCTGTTTTAACGTAATTTGTATGGCTTGATTTAGAGTTAGATTCCCAGCATTGAGTAATGTAATGGTGTGTTCGTGTATTATGAAGTTCAAAATCTATAATTATTAAAATATAACAACACCACATGACACGTGAGGGGAAAAAGCATGCGCGTGTGAGCCAGTTGTGCGGTTGAGCTTAAAAAGTGGGAGATATGACAACTACTCATCTGTTACTTTAATTTAGCTTCGAGAGGCCAACACTCTTCTCTATTTTATATTAAGCTCTGTGGACCCCACCTACTCATTTTAATGTGTAACATAAGCATATACACAAAGAAATACGATCTACGTGCTTGTAATAACTTCATGCTGTTGGATTTTTTTAAAACTCTTTATTTTTAAAATTACATAATACGGACGGTATTTGTCTTTTTGTGAGAAAATTTAATACGTAATCTATTTGAGGAATATGTTTCGTTTATTATTAAATTTCAGTACTGAATCTATTTGACATGTATTTATGTTTAATAGAATGCCAATATATACTGTCACAAGATTTATTAGATTTCTATTTTTACTGTCGATTTCAATTTTGATCGGTTAGGTTGTGAACTGGAACAAAATGTTTTAACGCATCAAAGGGTAAAAAAGACAAAGCATTATTTTTACTGACCCATCTTTCTTCCCGCTCATTTGGCTCCGTCAGTCACATTTCGAAAACTTTTTCTTAACCCGGTTCGCGGTTCTTTATAAAATCACTCGACCACGTTAAATTTTCAAACCTCCAAAAAACTGGTCTTTGAGCGAGAGCCACGTCAGCAGCACACAGTAAATAATTCTACTTTTATTAATCAGAAAATTTCAAAATCTGTAAAAAACAAATATCTTCAAACGATCTCTCTCTCTCTCTTCACCACCATCGCGTGAAGAAGACGAAACAATCGCTCTCTCCCTCTCTCTCTCTTGTGGTCTCACTATCTCTTTCTCACAATCACATAGCTCAACTCAACAATGGAAAAGTAGAGAGAGAGAAAGAAGGAGGAAGAAGAAGAAGAGCATAATGCTTTTTTTTTTGGTGTGACCCCAGCCATGTGAGCCTACACTGACACATTCACATTTGGAAGTTTTTTCGATTGATTCTTTCTTCCTTCCTTCTTCCACAATTCTCACCGATTCGTGAATGGCTTCATCGTCATCTAGAACAAGGAGCCGTTCTCCTTTCTCTCACCGACGACCTCCGAGTCCTTACTCCTCCGCTTCCTCCACTTGCTCCTCTCACATCAACAACAACCGCCTCTTACCTCGCTCTTCTTCCTCCACATCTGCTTCCACAATCTACAATCCCGCCGCCCTAACCGGATCCCGATCTATGGCGACTACTCGCACCGTCTCCGATCCCGGTAGTCTCATCGGCGGCGGCTCCGGAAACTATAAACCTCCATCTCCCGTTCCTTACTCCTCGGACGCGTTGATTAGCGAGCCTATGTCGACGACTACTACCTCCGATCGCCATAGCATCTCCGTCACCGTTCGGTTTCGTCCGATGAGGTTACGCTTAGATCTGGGCGTTTCAAATTTCAGATCTATTTTGATTCGATTTTTTTTGAGTAAAATGAAATTTGGATTGCAGTGAGAGGGAGTATCAAAGAGGAGATGAGATTGCTTGGTATCCTGACGCTGACAATATGGTCAGGAATGAGTATAATCCCCTCACAGCTTACGCATTCGGTACTGAGAATATTCTCTCAATTTAGTCATTTACTGTTCATTAATTAGGGCTTCTGTTAACGTTTCTTGCGAATATGTTGATGCCAGATAAAGTTTTTGGACCACAAGCGACAACTATAGAGGTCTACGACGTAGCTGCAAAGCCTGTTGTCAAAGCAGCTATGGAAGGTGTTAATGGTAAGGAGTATGGCTATCAATTAAAGTGGACTTTTGCTAGTAACATTGCTTTCTGAGACTGTGTTGGCAACTTGTGACAGGTACCGTTTTCGCTTATGGTGTTACAAGCAGTGGAAAGACGCATACAATGCATGTAAGTTCTCTCTCAGTGTGTGGTTTGTTTCCTTTCCTATATGTTGCAAAATATATCATATAAAGACCGGATGACCTTGATTATAGTTGCTAAAAATGTTTGATCCGCCGTAGGAAGGATAAAAGATATTTTGATTTAAGATTGACCAAAATTATCTTCTGTTAATTCATCTGATGATAATGTGCATAACGTTCGTACATGATGACAATTGGCTTTCATTTGCAATATGCTCAGGGGGATCAAGACTTTCCTGGAATCATACCATTAGCAATAAAAGACGTGTTCAGTATCATCCAAGAAGTAAGTAATCTTGTTCTACATTTAACCTTTATGGTCCTCTACTGATGTACAGTTCTTCATGAACCTTTTCGTGCAATGATAGATATTCTAGTTTCTTACATCATTTTTAATTTCAGACTACCGGAAGAGAGTTCTTGCTCCGTGTTTCATATCTTGAAATATACAACGAGGTATGTGAAAATATCCATTCATCATATAATATCATTTACTGACACGGTAAATAGACCCTCTTGTTCAGGCTTTATCTTCAGAAACAGTTTCATATTTTCCTCACTTAGAAGAATATCTCCCTTTGTTTAAGTATTTTGTCCGATAACTCATCATGTCTTTGGTTTTTGGCGAACGTTCTTATATGTCCCATATATTGGTAAGTTATCTTGTTTTTATCCTTTTATCAGGTGATAAATGATTTACTGGATCCAACAGGGCAAAATTTACGCATTAGAGAGGATTCCCAGGTTTTAACTTTGCCCTCTTTCATACACACACATGCAAATACAACTGTATATCAAACAAGAGCATTTGCTTGTTAGTCTAATTTCACATTTTCTTTCTGGCAAGGACTAGAACGATGACAATATATGATGAATTGTTCATGTTGCGTCCATTCTGTTTCTTTTATGATATCTTGGTTGATCTGGAGTGGATACTGTCTGTAGGGCACTTACGTTGAGGGTATCAAGGAAGAAGTTGTTTTATCTCCAGGTCATGCGCTATCTTTCATTGCAGCTGGGGAAGGTAATTAGAAGAATTACTTCCAAATCATGTTTTCGCTCTATTAGATACTCTTTTTGCCTTTACTTACTAGTGTTTTGATCTTCAACGGCAGAACATCGTCATGTTGGCTCAAATAATTTCAATTTGTTGAGCAGCAGAAGTCACACAATATTTACACTGGTACAACTTTAATCTAGCGAACATCCCATGTTTTATTCCTAATTCTAATTTACTTCTACAGTTGTCCTTGCTATGCATTTTAAGGTTCAACTATTGTCTGTTTGCAGATGATTGAAAGCAGTGCTCATGGAGATGAATATGATGGAGTTATTTTTTCTCAGCTAGTAAGGGTTCTTTCTTCTGTCATTGCATAAATTTGTTCGTCTTTTAGACAGTTCTCTCACAGTGTCTCTTTCTTGCTTAGAATTTGATTGACTTAGCTGGGTCTGAGAGTTCCAAAACTGAGACAACTGGACTAAGGAGGAAAGAGGGTTCATTCATCAACAAGAGTCTTCTGACTCTTGGAACTGTAGGTTTCTCTCTTTCTGGTTGAGCTTTTTTAATCTATCGGATGGTTTATTTCTTTCCAATAATGGTTTACTACCACATCCGATTTGGTGGTACTAGAGGCTTAGCAAGAGACTTCCAGTCCTATGGAACATAATTCTTGTTAAATGTATTCTTCAGTGCATGACGTAGTAATGCTAGTGTATCTTGATGATCAATGCCTCTATTTCTGAGAAGTCTCTTCTCATTTATGCGTGTGTATACATGTCCAAGATAGCATCTTTAGTTAACTATCCATTAAGATGAATTTTAAGGATGTTATGATTATAGCGATCTCGTATGGTTTCAACATGTAGGTAATTGGAAAACTAACTGAAGGCAAAACAACTCATGTCCCATTTCGGGACTCTAAGCTAACTCGACTCCTGCAATCTTCATTGAGCGGGCATGGACATGTATCGGTACGACTCTTCTGTATCTGGTGAATATCTCCCATTTCACCATGGTCCACGGTTAATTTTCATATTGTTTAGTTGTGATGTCTCAAACGTCATAGTGAAGGCAATGTTAGTTTGTTTATATTGGCTATCTGTTATAAGCTGCATGCACGCTGATGTTAATTCTAAATAGCAATGAGCAGAAGCTAATTCAGTTTTATTTCCTTAATTTTTTATAGCTCATATGTACAGTTACTCCTGCGTCAAGCAGTACTGAGGAAACTCATAATACATTGAAGTTTGCCAGCAGGGCAAAGAGGATAGAAATTAATGCCTCACGCAATAAGGTAACTTATTCGTTTTGTAATGCACTTGGCTTCTCTGTAGGGTATCACCTAAACCCTGACAAATTATTCTTGTTATTCGTTTCCTCTTGAAACAGATTATAGATGAGAAGTCATTGATTAAGAAATATCAGAAAGAAATATCGACCCTTAAAGTAGAACTTGAACAGTTAAGAAGGGGTGTGATTGTCGGTGTTAGTCACGAGGAGTTAATGAGCCTAAGGCAGCAGGTTCTGACCTCCCCCAGACCTTGATATTAGATGACTATTTAAGTTCATTCGTATCTGGTTAATGAACCTTTTCACTAAACAGCTACAAGAAGGTCAAGTGAAGATGCAATCCAGATTGGAGGAAGAAGAAGAAGCTAAAGCAGCTCTAATGAGTAGAATCCAAAAGCTTACAAAACTCATACTCGTCTCTACCAAGAGTTCCATTCCCGGATATATTGCTGATGCACCCAGTCACCAGCGCAGCATTTCTGCTGGTAAAGATGATGTAAGTTGTCCATTCAAATGAGATTATCACTATGTTCCTTCCTACTAGTTGCATGTCGGTACCTCAATGCACAAGATGTTTTATACCAGAATCACTCATTCTTTTTCCTTTTGCTCTTCAGAAGTTGGACTCTCTGCTCTTGGATGGTGACAATCTGGCGTCTCCATCATCGACTCTGTCTCTTGTATCAGATGCTTCTTCAGGCCTTAAGCACCAGCGGTCTTCCAGCAAGTTGAAGGATGAAAATTCTCCAGTTGGTTTTGGTGCAGAATTATCTCAAGTGAGTTTGGGATACTCTCAATTAGTCTTACTTCGGTTTTTGTTTACTAGAGTTTTATGTATTCCTCTTTCAAAACTAAAAGTTATAACTTATGGGCAAGGGTGTCTCATGATTCAGGGTCTCATGCAACCATTTTAATATTTTTCTGTATGAGTGTGATTTTTCTCTGTGCACTTGCCAGGAAATGACATCTAATAGTTGTGGTTATTGTAGGGTGGCATGACTCCAGATGAAATGGACCTTCTTGCCGAACAGGTTAAGATGCTTGCTGGTGAGATAGCTTTCAGCAAAAGCACCCTAAAGCGTTTGGTGGATCAGTCCGTAAATGATCCAGAAAACTCAAAACCCCAAGTACAGCTTCTTCTTTATATTTCTAGAATTCAATATAGCTGTAGGATTATGATTTTCCTAATTCTGACCCCACTAGAAAAAAAACATATACCCTTTCGTAAACTTTAATACAGTTTCTGCAATGTGTAAGTATATTAGCTTGACATAGCTCTGCATGCAGATCGAGAGTCTAGAAAGAGAAATTCAAGAAAAACAAAGACAAATGGGGTCTTTGGAACAGCGAATAACTGAGAGTGGTGAAGCTTCAATAGCTAATGCATCATTGGTAGAGATGCAACAGGTAATCTAATCTCCTCCGATCATCATTATCATTTATCCTGTTAAGGTGTGAGCACAATATGGAACAGCTGAATGTATCTTGATTATTTGTTGTTTCCAGAAAGTTATGAGATTGATGACACAGTGCAATGAGAAGAACTTTGAGCTAGAGGTAATATATGTGTCTTCTGTGGAATGAAACGTCTTGTTTTATAGCGAAATCCCTAAAGCTAATGTACATTTAATTGTGTTCTACCTATGGATCAGATCATATCAGCAGATAATCGTATTCTCCAAGAACAACTAGAGAAAAAGGTCACTGCCACATTCTTCTCTTTTCTTTTACATGCTTCATAGTATTTTTTCTGGCTTTAATCTCAATCATCATTGTTTATTCACTCCTGCAGTGTACTGAGAATAATGAATTACACGAGAAGGTGCGCCTTCTAGAGCAAAGGCAATTGAGTCAGAAGCCCTCGCCGTCTTGTTCTGGTAATACTGTCAATGAAGAGTATGTTGACGAGCTGAAAAAGAAAGTACAATCTCAGGTAATTTATCTAAATCTCATACCCTCTTGTCATATTTTCCATTCAGATACTCACAAATATGCCTGATAAATGGCTGCACCGGTAGCTAGGAGATGGTGAAAAAAACACAAAGATAAATATGTTTTCTAGACCTCTGGTTATATCGGGTGATGTTTTTATACTTCAGGAGATTGAGAATGAAAAGTTGAAGTTAGAGCATGTGCAGAGTGTGGAGGAGACGAGTGGATTACAAGTGCAAAATCAAAAACTAGCTGAAGAAGCTTCGTACGCTAAGGAACTGGCCTCTGCAGCTGCTATTGAGCTGAAAAATCTAGCCGATGAAGTAACAAAGCTCTCGCTTCAAAACGCAAAGCTGGAAAAAGAATTAGTAGCTGCAAGAGACTTAGCGGCAGCAGCAGCTCAGACGCGTAACAATAACTTCGTGAACAGCGTGGCAAATCGCAATGGGCCTAGGCCAGGGAGAAAGGCAAGGATAACAGACTCGTGGAATCTCAACCAAGAAGATCTGAAAGTGGAGTTGCAGGCGAGGAAACAGCGAGAAGCAGTTCTCGAGGCTACGTTAGCCGAGAAACAATGCATTGAAGAAGAGTATAGGAAAAAGGCGGAAGAAGCAAAGAGAAGAGAAGAGGCTTTGGAAAACGATCTAGCCAACATGTGGATACTTGTTGCAAAGTTGAAGAAAGCCAGTAGAGGAGTTATGTCCGGGCCAAAAAGTAATGAACCTGCAATGGAAGAGGAACCTAGAGAATTAGAAAACAAGAGTCAAAACAATGCGATCTTGAAAGAGAGACAAGTGTTGAATGCACCTGAAGAAGTAATAGTTGCCAAGAGTGAAGATACATCAAAGGAGGAACCCCTCGTTGCTCGTCTTAAGGTACCTTTGCAAATTTGCCTTGTATTTTCTTTCATTATTATGAGTTGACTATATAAGCCTACTGCACAGTCTGTTGGATCGGGTTAGAAAAATACCTTCAAAGTACCCAAAAACATATATGCTTGTAAATGTTTTTTGGGTACTGCATTTAGTGCGCTTTTTTTTTTTACAAAACAGGCAAGAATGCAAGAGATGAAGGAGAAAGAGATAAAATCACAGGCGGCTGCCGCTGCCAACGCAGACGCAAATTCACATGTCTGTAAAGTTTGTTTCGAGTCGCCAACAGCCACGATTCTCCTCCCTTGCCGCCATTTCTGCCGTAAGTCTCATACCTTATCTTCATCAACAATTATTATTACGTACACTAAAGAATCACAATATCTGCCTTGTTTTTTTGGACATAGTTTGTAAATGTTGTTCACTTGCCTGCTCCGAGTGCCCAATCTGCCGCACCAATATCTCTGATCGCCTGTTCGCTTTCCCCTCTTGACCCCCTGACAAGTCTATACTCCCTCTCTTGAGCACAATGTAATTTAGTTATATTCCACCGTCACAAATCAATAACATCCAAAATACTTTATTTCAACAAGATTAACTCGCTTTTGACATGCGATTCCATGTGATTTTGCAGATGTCGAGAGAACTACATATGAGTCGAAGCCTGTTTGTTTGCTTATATTTTCCAGGCTTGAATGCTTTTCGTTTTTTTTTTTTTTTTTTTTTTATATATTTCCATTGGTATATCGTTCTCTACAAAATGGAACGGAAAGAGGAAACATAACATATTATACGTCTGCTCATGCTAAAGACCAAAGGGTAAGTATATGTATAGATTTATTGTTTTAACCGAAAATTCTTTTTACGAGTCTTAAAAATTGAACTAATCTGTTCATTTCCTCTGTACTGTGTTATGTCTCAAATAAAGAGAGTGGTCAAAAGAAAATGCATACATGTGAAAAAGTTAAGTAAGATTGTTACCAAAAAAATGTTAAAGTAAGATGTGTGAAAATCTATTGAAACAACAAAGTGCAAATGATCTCGGTTCTTTTCTGTAGTTTCTTGCAATCAAACCAAGGTTACAAAATTGTAAACAAATTCATAAGAACATTTTTTACATGTAACCTGATATTATAAAAACCTGGTAAGCAAATTAACGAGCAACTAGATTTTGATCCGCACAACAATGTTGGTTTTTTTAATACTAAAATATTTTAGATTATACAATAAAAGTTATTAATATATTAATACAATTTGATGTTATATATTATCTAACTTTATAATAATGTTTGTGTGGCTATCAATATTATTACTATAAATTTTATAAATTTGTATTTTGTAACAATTTTCAAAACATTATTATCTAACGGTAATATTGTTTTATTTCTGATTTGAAATATATATAGAAATTAAATGAAGTTGGACATACATAATTGATAAACAAATTTTTAAGATATTTTAAAAATTATTTTATATATATATTTTTTTTATAAATCAAAAATGAATATTTTTAATTATATTTTCTGATAATTAAAATTTCAATGAACTAATTATCAAAATATATTTTTTAAAAAATATAAAAGATCTTACAAAGATATTATCAGAATTTTCATAAAAATATTTTTTGCATTTCAAATAAAGTTAAAGATTTGAAAGATATTATATAATAATACTATGTAAAATTTAATAAACTTTTTAAGGATGACCCAAATTAAAAAATTACACATGAAATGAGTTATAACTTTTATTTTAATATAATGGATAGAAAAATAGTTGTTATAATCCCCTATATATTAAAAGAGAAGCATTGCATTTAATGCTTTCACACCACCGAGTACACGTGTCAGCTAGATAGGAACTCTCACTTAGTAATTTCCTTAGTTGCCTCACTTTTGAAAGTCATCGTTATGAAAGGTTAAGCTAGATTTCTAACGTGAGACGAAAATGCGTTGAAAGGTTAAGCTAGATGAATAACGTCAACGAAAAAAGTTGAGGAAGGAGTAATATGAATAAAGAGAGGTGATACAACTCATAACAAACCGGTTAGAAATAGGACGACGAAGATTGAGATCAAGGAGGA